GACATCGGGAGGGGTCGGCGGTGGCTGAGCGCCACGGGGACACGGAGCTGTGCCAGCCCCGGGACGGGCACGGCCCGCCGGGAATCCCCGCGGTGCCCGCGGCCGGGAAAGCGCCGCGCTCGGGAGCCGCCTTCCCTCGGTTCCTGCCCTGGAGCCACGCTCGGTTCGGGAGCGTTCCCGGAGCCTTCCCGGAGCCTCCCCCGGAGCTTCCCGGAACCTGCCCCGGCCCCTCCGCCGCTCCGGCGCGGCGCCAGCGGGGAGAGCCGAGCCCCGAGCCCCGAGCCCCGGGTGCGGCGGGTGGGGACCCCCGGCAGGTCCCACCTGCGCCCCAGTTCCTGTTCCTGTTTGCTCACCGGGCTCCCTGCCCGCTACACGTGGCTGATAAGGGCAGCTCCCGGCGCTGCCCGCAGCTCCTCCCGAGCCGTGGAACGTCCCGCTCCCGTCCCCGGGGATCGCCCGTGCCCGGGATCCCGCCAGGAGCATCCCATGGCGGGCACCGCATCCCCAAAACACCGCCGCCGGCTCCGGGCGGGCAGAGCCGCGCAGGGCTGAGGGAATTCAGGAGGGAGCACGACCCCCCAGCCCCAATCCCAATCAATCCCAATCCCATCCCGTTGCAGGATGGCCGACGGGCACGGCTGGTGGAAGCTGACGTTCCTGCGGAAGCGCCAGGCAGCGCCGCCGGTGCTGTACGAGAGCCCCGAGGCAGCGGCGGCCCCGGGCGGGGGCAGCGCGGAGGGGCCGGGCCCGGAGGAGCCCCCCGGATTCGCCGCCCGCCTCGAGAAGATCGTGGACAAGAGCACCAAGGGCAAACACGTCAAGGTCTCGCACTCCGGGCGCTTCAAGGAGAAGAAGAAAGTGAGRGCGACGCTGGCCGAGCATCCCACCCTGTGCGGGGCCGGCGAGCGGGAGGAGCAGTGACCCGGCCGGATGGCGACCTGCGGCCACCCCGGGAACGCCAAAGCCGAAGGACACAGGACTCAGGATGGAGTTTATCCGCGGGATAAGCCCGGACCCTGCAGGATTGAGCCCGGGGCAGAGCGGAGCGGAGCCGGGCGCTCCCCAGCGCGGACTGGTTCGTACTGGGATGAGGACACTCCCCACGCACAGCGCCCGGCCCTGCCCCAATCCCAATCCCAATCCCATTCCCGATCCCCTCCCGTTGTCACTCTGCGGGGCCGGGGCTGTGACATTTCCCTCGGGGACAAATCCCCGCGCGGGGACCACGGGGGGCTCCCGGGAGGAGCCGCGTTCGCCACGGAGCCGCTCCCCGCTGCTGGAAGTGCGGAGCTCGCCCCGCGGCTCGGCAGGATGGAAACCCTCGCGCTTGCTGCTAATTAACAGTTGTTAATAAAGCGAGCCCGGGAGCGGCTCCTGGATCGTGGCAGGGTGGGATTGCTCGGGATCCCTGCGGGGCACGGGCGGGAGCGGCGCCATCGCGGGGAATCCCTGACCCGGTGAAGGAGGAGGAGGAGGAGGAAGCAGAAGCAGCTCCGGGAAGGCTCCGCGGATCCCYGAGCCCGGCAGGGCAGCGAGAAAAGGCTCCGGATCGCTCTGGAATCCCGCATCCACCCCGGGGAACCCCTGACCGCCGGAGAAGGGGCCAGGCGGGGCCGGGGTGCCCTCCCAGCTCCGCAGGGTGCGGCCGTTCCTGAGCTCCGCAGCTCCGACAAAAGCCGGACGGTGCCAAAAGCCCGGCCCAGCCCCGGTTTCCCGCACGGCCCGGTGCCAGGGCAGCCCCGGCTCGGTTCGCTCCCAGCCCCCGCCGGTTCCGCTGGGAGGGGGCGCAGAGCGGAGCCCCTCGGCCCACGAACGCCCCTCACCCTGGAATTCGGGCTCCAAGGAGGGGTGGGAGAGTGGCACCCCCCTGTCCCCTCCTGTCACCCACCGAGGGTCCCACCGGGGGGGACAGTCCCGTCCCTGCACCGCAGGGAACCCCCAGGACAGAGCCGGCCCTGAGCACGATCCCGCTCCGGGACGGCAAAGGCAGAACCGGGGGGGATTTCAGGGATCGGTTTCAGCCAGGGCCGGGTCCAGGCCCGGGATTCCCGGCTGCTCCGAGCTCCGGCTGTCCCGGGACAGCCCGGCCCTGCCTGGTTAAACTTTAACCCAGTATTAACCCAAACCCTTCACGCCTCCGCAGAAATCTCGGTTTATTTTTGCCAGGCTTGGACAAGCAGCCAGAGGAGGGAACGGGGTGAGGGCTGGGGTCTCACAGCCCTGGGACAAGCCACGACAACGGCGACATTTTAAAAATATTAATAATTAATATTAATATTTAAATTAATTCAACACCAGCAATGACCAACAAGGGATCGAACACATTCCACGATTGCAGACAAAACACGGAGAAAGAGAGCTGACAGCGGCGGGACAGCGACAGGGGTGGCACTGGGGTCACAACGGGACCCTGCACAATCATTAACACGATTAATTAACCACCGGCAGTGATCACAGACCGATTTGGGGACAGGGG